TCTGTCTTACTGTTGCTTTCCCCAGGTTTTCTACAGGATGACTCCTTCATTCTTACAATATAAGTAAGGATCTTGGTTTAATTCTAAACAAATAGAAATTTCTCATTGTAAAGACTAAGCAAAAATACAAAAATAAAAAAACAAACAAATAAAAAACCTCAAAAAAACAAGAATGCAATCACATGAATCCTCTCCAGTCTGGCTAAAGCTAAGAAACAATGAAGGCTCACTGGAAAAAACTGAATGTTGCCAACATTCAATTGTAAGCAGAACTTGAAATACATTAATTGCTCAAACAAAAAGTTTGGCCAAGTAAGCTACACTGAATAAAAAGAACAGTGTACTCACTTTGATAGCGAGACTGTAAGACTATTCCCCTAACACAAACCTCTGCTGTGAAAGAAAGGAAATAAAACTCCCAAGATACATTAACACTTCACTATCTTGCACAGCAAGCCCAGCAGATACCTGCTAATTCCTCCTGTTCGATGACAAGGTGTTTTGAAGCCCGGGTGGCCTGCTCAAGCCTATTTCTCATTCCCCCTCAGATTTAGGATAATTATCTTCTTCTTAAGTATATTCAACATCTACTAGAGAAATATTCTGACTCGCCCTGTCTTGCATGTAGAAGTTAAGGTGAATACAGAGGACTGACAGCAGGAAAGAGACAAAGCTCTCCAAATCACCACACTCTGAAACACATAGCAAAATAACACAAACACAATCAATTGCAATCCTTGGCGAGCTGTAACCAGTGGTACTCCTATTTAACAAAAGTAAAAGAGTTCACATTGGAGTGCTGACACATTCAGTTGGCATCAGCGCAGTGACTTTTAATTCCCGCGGCTGCTTTTATGTTAATAAATGTGTTCAGGTTTTTTGCTTGTTTTTATGACTCCAACAGGTCTCCTTTTAGCACATGCTACTGAACAAATATTGAATAGATTCACAGGATACAAATACTACAACATAACATCATGCTGAAAAAGGAAAACCTATACAAGAGCCAAAAGCAGGAGTTACATTGTAACTTTATCACCCCATCTATTCAAACTGCCAAACCCCACAAGTTCAAGAAGCCTGCTCCATATTTTCCAGGAAGCACACTGTCCCGAAACTAACGCAACTACAGCAACAGTCTGACAACTCTGCTCTCTCTAGGAGTTTCCAAAAAGAGCTATGATTTATATATATATTCAACAATTTACGTTTCCAATATGGTCAGAAATTCTTTGAATGCTTGAAGAATTACTTGATGATTGATGAATATTTTAAGTGCCTATCAAGAAAGTCTCTTCAGTACCACTTCAATGTCTGCATACAAATAATACAAGCATCATCCAAAAGTGTATTCTGGCTGAGAAGCAATGCAACCTCTCTGACCCAAAGCAAGACAGACTGTAATAATACTGTTTCAGTGCAACTGCCACAAAAAAGCAAGGGAAAAAAAAATAAAGGCACTAAACAAAGAATCATTCCGTTACTATTTTTTTTTTTTTTAAATACAGAGGACAGAGACAGAAGTTACGGAAGAGAACTGCAAATTGTAGCATGCAGTAGATATATTTTACCTATGTTCAGTATGAAAAAGTAATGTTTTTTGTTTACGCATCTTTATGTAGTTGTTCATATCCATGTCTATAATGTACACACATACACACATGGTCTTTCTCTCATGTTCTCTCTCCTGTTCTCCAACCCAGACTAGCTGTCATTTCTGTCAGGAACACCAAATCAGCACTACACAAGTCAAGTCTCACATACCTATAGCATCAGAAAAATAAGATCATGTGGTGGTGTGCATGCCTCTTTTCTGTAAAAGGGTACAGTGAAATCCATGTCATTTATAGGCTTGATGACTTGTATACCAAATGCCTCTAATTTGTAACCCAATTTTTCTACCTGCTAGTCCTGAAAGCCCTGATTTGAAAGTCAGGCTGGGATATTTCTTGTTCAGGTATCACTTCCAACCAGACTTGCTGCAATTGAGTTCAGTTAAGTCTACTGCAGGAGAGAAAAGCCTTAATTAAAGACTTCGGTGAGCAAGTAAGACCATATAGTTTTATGCTTTTGTTATAACTCAGTTGATCAGCTCAACACTAACCCCTGAAGGAAAATAGCTTATCTTTTACTTCTTTTCTTCAGAGAATCTCAAAAAGAGAAATGAAATCCTCCTTCAAGGAAATACGTACCAAAAAAACCTCCAAAATTCCTAGTGTTTGCATACAATTCTCATTATCTCAACTGTAAAGAGGACAGTGCACACAGAAAAGGTCTACTCGCCCATAATAATCTCAGTAACACAGGTCAGAGAACATGCCAGAGGAACAAAGATTAAGTAAAAAAAGAAAAAAAAAAAAGCACTCAACAAAATAAAAATAAAGCTCTCACGCTAGAAAGGAATCCCAAGGCCTTGGATCGGTGGACCCAAGACTTAAACACAACCAGCAGATTCATGTGTCACAGGAACAAGATCCCTTCAGGCCTACTCATAGTCTTCAATCTCTAAAACACCTGAAAAGCTCCACATAATATGAGTGGCTATCACCAAACAGCACTCCTCCAGAAAGAGGCAGAATCCTGTGGCATGTAAAAGGATAAAGGTACATCCTTCCAGTTGACTCATGCAGCAGTTGGGTTTGTGAGTTTCTGAAGACATCAGATGGAGCTCTGAAAATGCAGATCCAGCTGCTATCTCAATTAACCAGAGCAGAACCAGAGGAATGGCCTGTATTATTTTTAATTCTCCTGACAGTTTCAATACTCTGGAATGTACTCTGTATACATTAACACAGGTATAAGTGCCAGGCAGAGGGGACACATCCCTTCACAAAGAGAACTGGAGCAATGGGGCAGTCAGCAAGGGAGATACCAGGCTTCCCACCAAGTGAGGGAACCTACCTGAAAAGAGCTCTGAACCCCCACTGCAGGCTCTTAGATTTTAAAATGCAGTGACATACTGGTTATTACTAAGCAGAGGGTGTTCAACATGGAACCCCTGTAATAGAATCAAAGAATGACTTAGGCTGGAAGGGACTTTTAAGACAATCCACTTCCAACCCCGTGATGCTAGCACCAAGGGGGTCAGCTAGCACCTGACTCATCAGCTGAGGCTGCCCAGGGCCCATCCAACCTGGGTTTGAGCTCCTCCAGGGATGGGACATCCACAGCTTCTCTGGGCAGACTGCGTCAGGGCCTCACCACTGTCTGAGTAAAGAAGTCTTTCTTAACACCTAACCTAAATCTCCCCTCCTTTAGTTTAAAGCCACTTCCCACTGTCCTGTCTCTATCAGCCTGTGTAAAAAATTGTGTCTCCCTCCCATAAGCCCCCTTCCAGTACTGGAAGGCTGCAATGACGTTTCTCTGCAGCCTTCTCTTCTCCAAGCTAAACATGCCAAAACCCTCAACCTTTCTTCACAGGAGAGGATGCTCCAGCTCTCACTCATCCTTGTGGCCCTCCTCTGAACCTGTCCCAATAGCTCTGTATCTTCCTTGTGCTGGGGGCTCCAGGCCCGGGGTGCAGTACTCTGGGTGAGGCTTCATGAGGGAAGGGCAAAGCAGAGTGCTACAATTCCCTCCCTCTCCCTGCTGGCCACCCCTCTGTTGATGCAGCCCAGGACACAGTTGGCCTTCTGGCTGCAAGAGCACACTGCTGGCTCATACCCAGCTTTTTGTCCATCAGGACCTCAAAGTCCTTCTTTGCAGGGCTGCTCTTGTTGAACCTTATTAGGTTCACATGGGTTGAATTTCCAAGCCTGTACAGGTCTCAGTGGATGAAATCCCTTCTTCAGGTTGGGTTGGCTATAATACACAGAACAGAGGTGTATATACGGTATATTCTATTCATTGAAACTTCTTACTTATAAAATGTAAGCAGTCAGTGCTACTTTATACATTTTTTCAAATAGTTTGTCAAAGCCAAAGCATTCTATCATTCTAGTTTACAATTCTGTAGTATTGTATGTCTTTAAGAAATAGGAGGGCATTCAAATAGAAGTAAAAAAATATCAGTGGCACAAATGTGCACTCTGTAATTCTGAAAAGTCTCCCATACACTTTGAGAAAACCCATTTCTGCACCTTCCCATAGGTACTGGAAGAATGAAGGTGCAAAAAAAGACCCACTACTTGTTCTGTTTACACACAGATGCATCTGTAGAAAAAAAAAAAAAAAAAAAAAAAAGCATAAAGGCATAACTAGATATTCAGTTGAGATGTTAAGAGGACATGATATTCAAGTAGGAGCACAATAACTGAACACAAAAAAAGCTAACTCAAGTTAGGTCCGGGCTGGGTATGAGCCGCAGCAGCACTTTCACGCACGAGAGGCGTGTCCTCGGTTTGTTATTCTAACTTTCCGCCGTTCTATAGAAGCTGCTCCGTCGGGACGTGTCACCGCATCACCGCACGGACCCTCGGGCCCCGTAGCCCCCGCCCCGCCCGAGCCGTGTCACATCCCGGGGACAGCCCCGCGCAGATATCGACGGCAGCTTCACACAGAAGCGCGCCGAGCCGCACACCGCGGCGGGTGACGTCCCAGCACGGTGGACGGGAGGCGAGCGGAGCGACAAACTTCGGCGCGGCGCGTGACAGCGGCTGCGGAACAGCACTGCGGGCACGGCGGCATCCGGCGGGCGGCTGGCAGCGATCAGGTACCGCGAACCGCTTCCCTCCGGTCAAGAGGAGAAAAGCTACCGAAAAAAAGGGAGGAAAAAAAAAAAAAAAAAAAAAAAAAAAAAAAGCCGTCCCTGTATATATGAACGTCACCCAGCCCGCCTCGGACCGCGCAGCTGCACAGAGCGGTCTCTTTAAGAGCAGCGAACAAAGTAGGCTCCCAGAGTTGTCCATATAAAGTATACGCGTGCGGATAAAAGGTCAACTATCAGAGAGCTAACCGAAAACCCGCAGGAGCCGGAGCACGGCGCCGTCCTACGGACGGATGGCCGCGCGGAGCCGGCAGCGCAGGGGTGGTCCAGGGCCGGGCCTGCCGGGCGCCCTTACCTCTGGGTCCGGCGCAGGCGGGTGCCGCTCCTCAGGTGGGGCAGCGTGAAGTTGGAGAGGACCGTCCAGTAGTTGGGGTCCGACATATCCATACCCCGGCGCTCACAGCGCGGCGCCGCTCACAGCCATAACACGCGAGGAAGGAAGGAAGAGCCGCCGCTTTCTGCACCGCTCCCGGCAGCTGGAGACGAGAGCCGAGGCCCGCCCAAAGGAGCCCGCCCAGAGGAGCTCGGCCCGACGGCAACTTTCCGCGCGGCCGCCCCCGCCCCGCCCCGCCCCGCCCCCCGCCAGCGGCGGCGCCAGGTGAGGGCGCCGGGCGGCCCCGGGTGCGGCGCTGGGGCGGGGGGAGGCGCTGGGGGCGCGCGGCGGG